GGATCCATCCTGCCTTGGGTTAATGGTTAGATATGGTGGTGGTGTAATGATGTGGGGGATGTTTTCTTGGCACACTTGGGGTGTTTTGTACTGACTGAGCATTGTTTGACTGTCACAGCCTACCTAAGTATTGTTTCTGACCATGTCCATGAATTATACTGTGATATGTGTACACATATAAGCATGTTTTCCCCCTCCAGTCTCCAAATCTAAATCTTATTGAGATGCTGATCATCTCAGCCAGTGCTGTAATGCTTTATACATTTCACTGAAAAAGCTTTTGAAGATTTCTACATAGAGTCAATGAGAGGATTTTTTTCTGCAAGCCAAAGGTTTTTCTGACAATTTTCCACAGCTGACAGCCAACATGTTAGCTAGCACAGAAAACCATTGAGAGGATGCCAGAAACCTTCAGCACTGAAGCTCCAACACTCACCCCTTACCTGACCTCAGGCTCTACCAGCAGGACCAAAACAATCAATAATATGGATGATGAAGCTTAAGGTGATGTTGTGAGCGACTTAATGGTTTGATATCTGTAATGTGTTATTAAAAACCTGAAATATTCAATCAGACCTCGAATGCTCATCATTTACAAGCGTTTCCAGGATATTTCCTGTGGTTTTCAGCATGTCATTAATACAGTTTCATAATAAAACTGTGCAAATAAGGGCTAAATGAATGCAATTGATAAACATAGACTCCGCTATACAATTACAAAAAAGAATAAGACCTCCAAAGATAGTTATTTATCAGTAACGGGTTATTGGTTAATTTAACACATACAGTATGAATTTGTCACCAGTCACAGTATCACCACATTGTTTGATTTGTACATCCCAAATTTGTGTAGTACTGTATACAAGGCAAAGAAAAGCCAAAAATCCTGTCTGGGAGGTGTGAGGCATTAAGTAGTGCAAACTAATTATTGTTTGATGAAGTACTCGATGAATCAGGGGAGCTCTACTTGAGAAAAACAAAATAGCGCTCCATCATTACAGAAGGATCATTACTCATTTATTAATGAGTGGTGTCCAGCCAAAAAAGGTTTTAAAAACCGTGCAAATATAAAAGCTATAAATTTAAATCCCCTCTTCTCTATGTTTTCAACTTAGACCATGGAGTAAGACAAATGATGGTTCAGTAAATTTTGATCAGTAAAAGTATGAAAATGGTTTTGGAGATTATGGAGCTGAGATTTTACCGAGAAAATAAATTCTCAAATTCCACATTTGATTCGTATCATCATTACTATCATTATCATGTAATTTTATAATCTCTGTGACTAACACAGGGTGCCTGCACCCCTGTAAGCATCTTTGTCTGCGTCACTTTTCATGTTTACTTGTTAAACCATGTTGGCTCTGAGCCTCCAAATCTCTCTCTCGTGCACACAGAGGAGTTCTGGCTTTGTCTCAGGAGGATTCAGACTCTATCCTCTTCAGGCAACTCTGTCCTTCACATAGATCTGGAGGACTTGAGACAGAACAGATGCTTCATCGAATACAGATTTTTACCTTGATGGGCCAACAAGCAACTACACCATTCACCTCACGCACGTGTCTGGAAATCTGCCTGACCCATGAATGACCTCACAGGCATGATGTTTTCCACAAAGTATAGGAGCCATAACAACCATCAGGACACCAGCTGTGCCCACCAGAAAACCAGTTGGTTACAGCAGATGCACATGTAATAGTTTTATTCCCATGGGATGCAAATCCCATGGGAATAAACTGAATCAGATAATAGGAATAATGAATGCTTGTTGTCTACTATTGTCTTCACAGTATGCGCTTTCTATCATTTTCTAAGTGGATGCTGGTTCAGCACCTGTGGAGACACTAACCTGAATGTGAGATATCTTCACATGAAACTAAAGGAGCGGTCTGAATGTCGGAGAGGGATCCAGGGGATGTCAGGTAAAAGGCGTCTTCTTTCAAATTGACCCAGATCTCCATCTATCATGTGGCTTCCTCCAGTGGCATCTCCCAAAAATCTACTTCCCCTGAATCAGACGTCCTTCTCTGATCCAGCATCGGCATTCTCTGAACAAAATCCCAGTAAAGACAGCTTTAAAATGTGGGCTCATGAGGAAAGTCTTGGCAAAGCTGAAATTTTAGCAACCAAGGCTCCAGAAAGCATAGGAAGGGAGGAAGATGTTTCCTGCTAAGTATCACATTCATTGAACAACCCCAGATTTGAAAAATGTGGAACACTGTGTAAAACATAAATAAAAACAGAATGCATAGATTTAGTGATCACATGAACCCAGATTATAATCACAATAGAACATCAGCTGAGAAAAGTCAACATTTTAGGAAGAAGAATAATCTTTAACCATCATAGAACAGTGAGCAGTGTTCACAGACAGTGATTTCTGGAAGTGTTTCTGAGCCCATGCTGCGATTTCTATAACAGGGTCATGTCTGTTCTTAATTCAGTGCCATTATAGAGAAGAAACAGTCACATATGAACAGTTTTTATATTGGGTCACATTTACTCACTGACCCCTGACAATTTGGGAAGGATCCCTTGACTGGATCATGACATAGAAAGGAAAAAGTTGGATGCATATATGAGGCTTGTCATGGTCCTGGGCCATGTTGGCCCAGCATTCTTAGTTTTCTTGTATTTTGTTCCTTATGCCGTGGTTCCTAGGTTCTGTTAAAGATGTTCCTTATTTGATTACCCCCTGTGTGCCCCTCTGTGTATCTGTGAGCCCTCGTTTCCCCTCGTGTTCCATTTGATGTTTTCCCCAGCCCGTTATGTCTGTGCTCTCTCCTCCTGTCTGCACCTCTGTGTACTTCCTGTTTTACTTTGACAGTCTCCCGTCAGTGTGGTTTACTCCTGCCATGTCTTGTTATGTTTATCTGTGTCAGCTGTGTTCCCCGTGTGCTTCCACTTCCCTCGTTAACTCTCTGTGTATTTATGTGCATGTCTCCCTCAGTTCGGTGTCGCGTCGTCAATGTCTCCTCCCCGAACCTGTGTGGCTTTCTGTGTTCCCTCGGTCTTTTGTTAGTATTCCCGGTTTAATTCTGTTTCGTGTTAAGGCCTGCAATAAAGCAGTGATTTTGAGTTCAGTTCCTGTCTCCGTGAGTTTTGCGTTTGGGTCCTCCTCTGCCTCCACACAGCCAGTTCATAACAAGGCTCCACAATCTCGTCTTGAATTGTTTCTATATGTTTTTCATACAGTCCTTTTTTATGTAACAAGAACAGCGTCTAAAAGTGTCAGCTTTTGTCGTGATTAATGGGTTCATTGTTTGATATATTTGTTATTATGACAAAAATCAAATAACTGTTATAGAAGACTTTAAAAACAGGAATTTATTCACTTCTGAAATGCTAAAAACATACATTTTTGTCACTACTGTTGTCAGAATTGTAGTGGATTAAATCTGTGTTGGAGAAAAAATGAGAGCTTAATTTTGCTTTATATATAAGAGTCGTTACAGATGAAGTAGAATTGTTGGAGGAAATCCATATAATTTAACAACAGGCATCATTTTGTGGAGTTGTAAGGAAGAAAAGTTGTTCTGACATTTTGACTGGTGGGATATATAAATATAAACGGGCAAACCAAACACTAACATGAATTTGTATCAACTTACAGGAAATGGGTACAAGAACCTTTTATGGAAGGAAAGAATGTGTTTACATGTGACACATTACAGTGAGAACAATGAACTGGATGAGAGCGAGCATGAGTAAGAGTATCCCGGAATCAGGTCTGAGGACAAATGAGAAGATCCGAGGTTAGCTGAGGGTCATACATATATAATGTATGTGTTCAGGTGCTTGGAGAGGACGTTATGCAGTGAGATGTAAGGTACCAGGACGCAATGGCACTCTAAAAATCAGATAATATAAACATCATATCCAACTCTGTTTCATAAGCTTCTCATACAGGACATTCAGTGTCAGACACACTGAAACTCTTAACCATACGATTGCCTGATTTTGTTGCATGAGTCTAAGAAAACGGTAACATTTTGGTACCTTTATAGCCCACTGTTACCCTGAGGCAACAAACTAATTTCTGGTAAGGGGTGATGGTGGGTGTGGGGGGGCAAATTTGTTTAATATATCAACAAAGACCTCAAGCTCCCATAAAGTAAGGTGAAATAATGTCTCCCATTAAACAAATAAATAATTAAATCCATGCTGTAGTGGTTTTAATATTTAATGTATTTTTTTTTTTTTTGCATTATTTTAATTAAGTACATTTTAAATGACTTCCAAATAAATACATTTTAGTTGTATTTTCACATTGTTTCAGTATCAAAAAAATAAAACAGCACCCAAATTTATGCAGACAAAACAAATAAATGTTTGTTTATTTATTTATTTATTTTACATGGCACACTGACTTTTGAACAAATATTTTTGAATTTCCTCTTACGCTGAACTTTTTTTCTACTGATTGGTTAGGAGGGCTCAGTAAACTCCAGAGGGCAGTGTTGTTCCATCGCGTGCAGATGACTTCACTGAGATTTGATTGCACCATGAAGTATGTCTAATGTGAAAACTGATACTTCCTTAAAACCTCACGTGTGTTCCCAATTACACTCTGACTGCTTGTCCCACTGTCTGCTTCCACAAACAGCATTAAAAATGAGAAATATCCTCTCCTGAGATAGTGTGAGACATGACTTTGATGACAGAGGTCATACTTCTTTTATGCATAATTCGTCTAATCACAGCTGCAGGAATAAACAGATAGACAAATCATTCACACAGCAACCACACCTAAACACACACACACACACACACACACACACACACACACACACACACACACACACACACACACACACTTCTTTGTGTTTTGCCATGCAGACTTGACAGTGATCTCCCTGCACATGTGTGAAGCAGCGTTCTCAGTTACTCTGCCTGCCTCTGCACACACATTAGTTTGGAAGGTTATTTTGGGCTGCACAAGCACCCTCTGCTTCCAGTGAAATAATAGGAGGAGTCAAACTCTTGCCTTTCCATTCTGCTCCTCCGTACCATTCCTCATGTCAGCTGACAGGGGATTTCCCTCTAAATAACAAGTTCCCCTTCGCTGTCTGTGCTACAGCATTAAGTTAGACCTTTATTTTGAAACAATGGACAACAGCCCTCTGCAGGTCTTGACTGTTCCTACAGCCCCCTACCCAGACCAGCGACCCAGCACCAACGGCCTGAGGAGAAAGGTCTATGTGTTCCAGTCCAGGAGGAACTACCTGCACAACTTCATCCAGAGTGTCTTCTCTTCCATTGACCTGCGCGATCGCCAGGGTTCAACCATAGTGGTGGGGGGAGACGGACGCTTCTTCAATCGAACGGCTACTCAGGTCATTGTGCAGATGGCAGCTGCCAATGGGGTCAGTGTCACCATGTGTAAGGGCCTGCTTACGTTGTTTGTGTGTGCATGCTGGCAGGTGGGTGTGCACATGAGCAAATTTGCAGATAACTGCATGTGTGTCAGTGTCACCTGCCCCAGTAACTTATTATCTCTTTGTCAGCGATTGTACCTTCATGTCAACTGCAGCCTGTGACTTTTGCTTTTACTGTCCAAACTATAATTAAAAAGTAGAAAAAAAAAAAAAAAAACATAATTTATGATGTAATTATATTTTTTAAAAAAAAATAACTTTTAAATGAAATGATAAATTGCATATGGATATAAGATACTGACTAGATATTACACTAATCTCTGTTCCGTATCTAATATCCGATCTAATAATAAATATCGGAAATGTCACTTTGAAACACTTCCAAGTCCCAGAGTTCTCTGTGTCAAGGGAATGCTCTCCATCACTCCCTCTATTACTTTTTTTTTTGCCTCCTCTAATAATAGGACCCTTCCCGCAAACATGATCTGAGCTACCTGGGGTCGGGGAGGTGGGGGTGGGGAGGGTATCCCCTTGTTTTAGTAGCATAACTGATCCTTTTCCTGGGAGATTAATGAAAGCAAGGCTTAAGTCTTATTGGCAGAGAAACATCCACCACCATTACATTCAGTCACCATTTACTGATCTTTCAAAGCAAATAACTTGCATTTTAATTTGTGGGCTGAAAGGTCACCTGATGTTTATTCTATACCACATTAGCACTGGTTTGCATGAAATACTACCTAACCAGTTAGCCACTTAACCTAACCAGTTGCTTTTTATTTTCTCTGCCGACATAAACACCTGACACTTTAAACGCAGCACACATCAGGTGTTTGGAACACATATGGCCTACACAAGTGTTCCAGATTAGATCCAAATTTGTCTGCTAATTGGGCCGGGTAAATGATATAATTAGAGGGATTTAAAATCCACTTACACATGATAGAACTTGCTCTTGGTGTGCCGCAAGTGCCGTTTGTGAAATAAAATATCCTATTTACTTCTGACAAGAACTGACAAACCTGATATTTACTGCTATTCCCACCCCAGCCTCACGCTGATATATCAAGATACGTATTTTTCTCACCCAAGTAAAAAACGCCTATGTGACTTTTCCCCAGGTGGGTCGTCTGATCATTGGACACCACGGGATAATGTCCACGCCAGCCGTCTCCTGTATGATCAGGAAATGCAAAGCCATCGGAGGCATCGTTCTCACTGCCAGCCACAACCCCGGTGGACCTGATGGAGACTTTGGCATTAAGTTTAATACTGCAAATGGAGGTATGGTAACTTGAGAGAAGAAAGCATGCAGTCGCAATGGCCAAGTGCAAAATAGTGATACAGGAGAAGTCCGGCATTTAATAAGGCCTCATTCAGATATGTGGCTCGGACACAGAGAAAATGTGATGCTTGTATTGACACAAATCTGGGACAAAGTTCAAACACATCAAAACAACACACAATATTCAGTATCACTATTCCTGTCAATAGAAGATTTTTCTACTATTACAATACTGCAATTTTACACTGTCATCATAAAACCAGGCTTCTTCTGCCTCATCCAGGCCCAGCCAACGAAGCAGTCACAAACAAGATCTTTCAGATCAGCAGGACCATTGAGGAGTTTGCCATCTGCCCTGGACTACAAGTGGATCTGACAACTATGGGAAAACAGACCTTTGACCTGGAGAACAAGTTCAAGCCATTCACAGGTAAACTAAAGCATTAATATTAGTCTCTCATTCATCATCAAAATTAATGAGCATGCGGGGGGGAAAGGAATATGAGGCTAGTTATATGACTGACCAGATATATTCTAATACAATAACACATATTGTCTTTATTCTTTGTCAAATGCGTATTGTAAGTGTATTTATGTATCTCTTTCCCTGATGATGGATAGAGTTTTGTTTCTGATTTGTGCAGTGGAAATCATAGACTCTGTGGAGTCCTACGCTAACATGCTGAGGAACATCTTTGACTTTGCTGCTCTGAAGGAGCTTCTGTCTGACAAGAACCACTTCAAGATAAGACTGGATGCCTTGCACGGAGGTCAGAGAAAATGCCCTCATAACTCATTTATCGTATAATGTCATAGTTATATTTGCACGCAACTCCAGCAAGTTCTTTAACTCATTTGCTTATGAAGCACGATGCTATTCAAATCTATATGATTTCCATATTTCTCACATTCATGTCACCAATGTAAAAGAGAAGCTTAACAATATTACAGCAAAATGGAGATAATAATGAGATAAATCTCTCTCTCTCTGTTCTATTCTGGGAGAGGTAACATTGGGTTGTCAGATCTGTGACTTTACTCTCATTAGATTACTAAATCTATTTTGAGCGTCCCCAAACACTGAAACAAAAAGTCAGGGCTGAAGCACTGTGAGCCTCAGTTTTCTCCTTGTTGTTGTTTTAAAATACTTTGTGCAACACCAGATCTGCCTAGTTCATCTTTGTCCTCTCTCACCTGTCCGCTCTCCAGCGGTAGGACCCTACGTGAGGAGAATACTGTGTGTTGAGTTGGGTTGTCCTGCCAGTTCTGCCATTAACTGTGTCCCTAAGGAGGATTTTGGAGGTCAACACCCAGATCCTAACCCCATATACGCTACAGATCTGGTTGACAGCATGCGAGACGGACAGTATGATTTTGGTGCAGCATTTGATGCCGATGGGGTGGGCTTACCGAGTTATTATTTCTGCTTTGTATTTGTTTGTTTGTTTGTTTTTTCAAACATTACAAGAATATATGTAATATAAAAATGCAGCTTCAAAAGACATTTCCTTGGGCCTGAGAGACCTCTTTCTGCTTTCTAGGACCAGAACATGATCCTTGGTAAACATGGCTTCTTCGTCACCCCATCTGACTCCGTGGCTGTGATTGCTGACAACATTTTTTGCATCCCGTACTTTCAGCATGCAGGGGTGAGAGGTTTTGCTCGTACTATGCCCACAAGTGCGGCATTAGACAGGTAAACGTGTGGCCTGCTTCTCAAATATCACCATCAAAACAAACTGCCTTAGAATACTCTTTCATTGTATTTCCTTCAGAGTAGCCAAGGCAACAAAAATCGAGCTATATGAAACTCCCACTGCCTGGAAGTTCTTTGGGAACCTCATGGATGCAGGCATGCTGTCTTTGTGTGGAGAGGAAAGCTTTGGTACAGGTACTGCGTGTCCGTGCCAAGTAACTAAATCGAAGAAGACGAGGATTCTGATTCTGGGCTTTTGTTTTATGTTTTCTCAACACTGTCAACCAAATTCCACTTCACGCTTCAGGAGGAGACCATATTCGTGAGAAGGATGGGCTTTGGGCTGTGCTGGCATGGCTGTCTATCCTGGCCACCAGAAAGAAGAGTGTGGAAGATTTAGTTAAGGACCACTGGCTAAAATATGGAAGAAACTACTTCACCAGGCGAGATGTGTACACACTAAAAAAAACACAGTGTTATTACCGAGGTTATGTGATAAAGTTTTTTTTTATTTGTTTGCTTATTTGTTTGTTCTAAGTGGCTAAAATATAGTTAAGCAGAAATTGTGTCACTGATACAGATGAAGCTGTAACAGGTGGGTCGATGAGACATGTGAAGACACATGTAGAACATTACTGACACCTAGTGGAACATATGTGGTATTGCACTGTATGAAAGAACATTTAACATTAGAGTATTAATAGTAGTAATGTTAGTATTAGTATTGTCTGTACTGACTCACTTTTGATTACAAAATATTCATTATCAACACAAATTAAGCCACATCACAAAACATATGTAAAATAAGGCATCAGTAATCAATAATAAGTACCTGTTAGTTTATTATTTATTTATTTATTTTTTTCTCATTAGATTTTTGTTTCTACTCTTTACATTTTGCCCAGGTATGACTACGAGAATGTAGATATAGATGCGGCATGTGAAATGATGGAGGATTTGGAGATCACAATCACCGACAAGACCTTTGTGAGGCAAAGATTTGCTGTGGAAGACAAAATCTACCAGGTGGAGAAAGCAGACAGCTTTGAGTATGCAGACCCGGTAGACGGCACCATTTCCAGGAACCAGGTACACGAAAAACACTGTGGTGCATTTTTCTGTAATGAAAGTCTTGCGGTATACACAGATGCATAATGTATGCGATCTGTCAGCATCAGAGCCTCTCAGCTGTGTTTGCAAACCCTAAAATTTTTTATCTCAGTCGGGCTGTCTTCACTGCAGGGGCTGCGGATAATCTTCTCTGATGGTTCTCGAATCATCTACAGACTCAGTGGGACCAGTTTTGATGGGGCAACAGTTCAAATCTATCTCGACAGCTACGAGAAAGAACACGTTTTTGGGGATGCACAGGTAGAGTATCTAAAAGTGAAAACTGCATTTTGACCAGAACAGGCAAAAAAGACAAACCTTTGAATCACTAAGCAGAAACTCTTTTTAAATGAAATGTAGCGCTGTGTGGTGAAAAGGAACAGTGTTACTGCTCAGTGGTTGTTTGGATGATTTTACATATGGCAGCAAGGTGCATGAGTCTCTAATTGTGCCATCCTTGTTTTGGACAGGTGATGCTGGCACCCCTTGCCACTATCGCTCTAAAGATTTCTCAGCTTCATCACAGGACCGGTCGAACTGGTCCGTCTGTCATTATATGATTCCTTATTAATTGACAAAATAACGCTCTTTTTTAAGTTTTTCCATCCTGTTTTTTTGTGTTTGTGTTTGTTTTTTTATAAAGGAAGTCTCAAATCCAGTTGTAGCTACATATGTTGCAAAAGTGTGCAGTTGAATGAAATTAAATGTGATATATTAAACAGCGTTTTCGTTTTTGGTTCGGTTGTGGCATGCTTTGGTGCTTTTTTATGGCAGATGATATTACATCTACTTTACTTTGTTTCAATTTTGCTTTTGTTAACTGTCATTTTCATTCTCACCAGTGAGGCCCTGGCTAAAATCTGTAAGATTACAGAAATGTCAGCGTTTTTAGCGAAAAAAAACCTGAACCTATTTGAGCATAATGTTTTCATAAAGCAGCACTTTTACTTCCTCAGTGAAACTCTTTAAAAAACAGCATCAGCACTGTCTCTTTTTAAAAATCTTTTTCTTTTTGTACCAGTTACTACTGAAGACTACTTGGCATGTGCAGTTGAGAAAATTAGAACATGACAGCAGCAGGTGCTCAGTTTACAAAGAAGGAATGGGCTGTTTCTTGTCGTTAATCCTCTAAAACTGTCATTTGGATCATACGTACCCCTTAATTTAGGGAAAATGAAATCTCATCTGCGAATAACAACCTGAAATTGAAGTTGAGTGCGTGGGTGGGTGCTTGAGAATGAGTGACGGCTTTCCAGCTCGCTTGACTCTGTTGAGTCTGAAAATGACAAAAAGCAACAAGTCAGCATTTAAAGATTGCTCCCAAGAAAACATCTTCTAAAGATCTTTTAGTTTCACTGTGACAAGGGTCCTCTTTTTTTTTTCTTTTTTTCTTCTTTTACTTCACTATCTGTAAGTACAACTTATGCTGATACCTTTTTAGTACACCAACAAAGCAAAAACAACAAAGAAAACTTTTAAACTGCAAGAAAATATTTTTTCAAATAGCTTATCCGTATCTGGTGAATGCACCACATAATTTCCATCTGGACGGCAACAGCACGAGTCCACAAACATCTGCCCCAGCTCTGTGATCACTCATGCCCTTTGAAGTACTGTCCCTTTCTGTCTGGTTTCATCTCCATAATGCACTGAACCTGAAGGGGAACAACAACACAACAAGGGGAAAGCCAGCTGTGGTTCATCTCTGGCCCGTCGTGGTGTGAGTTTTGGTTCCACTAAAAATTTCCGTCCAAAATTGCACAAGTTTACATGCATAGTTACTCTGTCATCAGGATCTGTCCGTCAATAACACGATATTATATTACAGACTGCAAATGGAGGAGGAACTTAACTAAGGAGGACACAAAAGTCAGGTATTTATGAACCTAATGTCAGTAAACAAAATCAAAACCTATTTACATGCATAGTATAAAGATGCCTAAGAAGCACTAAAAAGTATTTTCATGCATTTTCTAGGTAAGTAAATCCATAACATGGTATTATATTCAAGGGTGTGTCTGGGGGTCTAAATATATTGGCTCCTCTGGTGTCTCCACACCAATGCTATTGTAATCTGCAAATCTAGTAATGCCCAACATCATTGGATGTGAACATGTATAGGGCCAGAGTACAGAACCTGTACCCGGATATATTATTTGTAAATATAGGGCCTTCATAGTTTCATATTGTTCTTCCAGATTTTAAAATATGAATCTAATATATGCTGAACTGCACTCCATTGGGGAAACAGCACTGGGCAGCTTGATTGGCATGCCCCCAGAGAACACCAGAACTGACTGGTCTGCCACTGGTACCCTGTTTGCTTCACAGATGAGGTTACAAGCATCACGAGGTTTGTCCTGCCATCTCCAGACTCTTTCACACCTGTCACATGTGCTCAGCATGAACCTACTCTCATTTGGGTGACAGTGATGGACCTGGCAGATCTGTTGTTCTCAGGCAAAGACCGGCTGCATGGTGCTGAGCTGTGAACACAGGTCCCACTAAAGGATGCTGGGGCCTCATACCGTGCTCATGGAGTCTGTTTTTGACAGTTTGGTCAGAAACATGCACATGAGTAGCCTGCTGCAGGTCATTTTATAAGGCTCTGGCAGTGCTCCTGCTGTTTTTCCTCACGCAAAGGAGCAGAAACCAGTCCTGCTGATGGGTTTATGCCATTATACGGGCCTATCCAACTCTCCTTGTGTCACAGCATGGAATCTTATCCACACGCTCTGTTGGGAGATGTAGCAAGCCGACTTGCGAAAACACCTACAGACGGTGACAAGAAAACAGATTAAAAAGCAAAACTACAGAAAAATCAGTCAGAAGGGAAGAGGGCAGGGCTGCGGTCTTTGGCCACTACCTGCAAAACCAGACCCTTTTTGCTGGGATTGCTTTCTTATTGCCTCACTAGTGTACCTGCACAAACAAAGGGGAATGGACTCAGTGCTTTATAACAATCACATGTTCCCTTTTTTTTTCAAGCAGTGTATTATACTATATTATTGTGGATAAAGCTCCCCAGCTGTACAGAAGCTGCTGTTCCAGCTTCAGCAGTAAGATTATAGTGACATATGCCATAATAAATCAGTAATTACGTATATATATATAAAATAGTATATTTTATATAATTCTAAATAATGTTTAGCTACATTATAATACTGAAACTTTAGTTCTATTACTTAAGTAGGGTCATGACTTTTACTCAAGTAATAGTAGTTGTTATTCAATAAGGAAAAACTACAAGAAAGTATCTCTTGGGAAAGATAAATAATAATAATAATAATAATAATAATAATAATAATAATAATAATAATAATAATAATTGACTTGATATACATTTAAAATGTAGGGACGAGTAAGTTTAAGGTAACAAACAATTAAAATACTCAAGTAACGAATAAGTAATGTAGTCTGTATTACTGCAGCACCTCATATTGTAACACAACACGCAGACGTGTAAAGCCCGCTGGAAGCACGCGCTAAATACTCTCGTGCTCGTCATCGAGAGACTAGAGAGTCACCAGCTAGGACTGTTTGGGTCAACGTTGGTGTGAGGTGAAACTTTTTGCCCGTCAAGATTACAGTATATCGGTGAAGAAGTTTACGCCCCAGCTAGCCGCAGAGCTACTGTAGCTTTAAGGAGGTCACCTGATGCAAAGAAAGGAAAACCCGACCGAGGAAGCAGGAAGTTCCTGTACGACGACATCGAGCCCGAGCACGTAAACAGTGCACAAAGAGCAAAAATAAACACAAAGAGGGGGTTTTCAGACGTTGACCGCAATGGCAGGCATTAAAGGTATTTTTTAATTTTGGCTCTGCTGGGTCAGCCGAGAGTTGAGTGTTAAAGTTTTTGAAGTTAAAAGTTTCTAAGCTGAGTTTTCCATACTGGTCAAAACGTTTGCTGTATCATCTCGAAACTCGCGTCTCTGTCGCAGGTCATTAAGATCTGTTGCCAGATAAGTTATTAACCTGTTGATTTATGCATTAGAGTTGTTGCTATTATCTAGTGTATCCTAACTCTTAGTTTACCGACAGCTCTGCCACGAGTGCTCCACGCCTACCGTGTATTTGTTTTATATTTTGGCCAAAAACAACTCTGTGATTAATGTAGAGTTATTGGTGTCTCGTTTTAGCACTGGTTGGTTTGTCCTTTAGTGGTGCTATTGGACTGACATTTCTTCTGCTGGGCTGTGCAATAGAAACGTACGGGTAAGTTCTCCTCGTAAACGTATCAGCAGCTATACGTGCAATTTTATGACACTGACTTACATTATTACAGAAATAACTGAGTTTTGGTTGTGGTTTATCAAAGAGCTCCAAACAACATCATTCACTCTGCAGTTACATTGTGTGACTTTTGATTGGAGACAAAAAAAAGGCCAGATCAATGCAGTCAATGCCAGCATTTATAGCCCTTATAGTCCTCTTGTTGGTCACACTCCAGGAATGCCAGTTTCTGATGTGACTGAAGTTACTACTTCAAAACTGGAAATCACCCTAAGAGCCCCAGAACATTTTTCTGTAACTGGTTTCACAGTTTTAGAACTCCTAATGACGAGTAAACTGAACTTCAGGTGTGCTAAGATGTTCCATTCTTTTGAAGACGAGTGTTTCATGTCCTTTGTAAATATTTTTGACAATTTCATCTGTTTTTGCAGGGTCTACTGGCCGATGTTTGTCCTGATTTTCTACATATTAAGTCCCATCCCGACCTTCATATCCAGACGCCTCAGTGACGACTCTGAATCCAGCAATGCCTGCAGAGAGCTGGCCTATTTCTTAACAACTGGCATTGTGGTATCATCGTTTGGACTACCCATTGTTTTGGCCCGTACCAACACCGTGAGTTCTCTTTACTTATTTAGTTTCGGATCATACTAAATGAGCGTAAATTCATCTGTGCGTACAAGTAGTGCATGTGCAGTGAAAACAAAATTACAGTGGAAATCTAATGGGCCATTTCTGTCGTGCAGATCAAGTGGGGCGCCTGTGGATTGGTGATGACCGGTAACGCCGTCATCTTTCTCACCATCTTAGGCTTTTTTATCGTGTTTGGAGGCGGGGATGACTGGAGCTGGGAGCAGTGGTAAAGTGCCGTTGGAAAGTGGACAGACAGATGGGTGGGTGGGTGGGTAGGTGGATAGTTGAACGAACAGACTGCGGACTGAGGGGCACATGTGTCCTGCACTCAATGGGGGATGAAGCTCTAGTGTAGGCAGCAAAATGTCAAATGAAACCAGCGTGTTGTCATGCTGATTTTTATACTGGGGTGGGGATTAGGTTTGGAGATAACTGTGTGCCCTGTAATGTGCCTTACGTCTGGGACCAGGGAGAAATGAATGTCTGTACCCCTCTTATGTGCCATCAATATCCACATTAACACATATATGATTATTTTCTTCGTCTTGCCTTTGTTTCAGTCGCTGAATCACCCTGCTCACTGCAGCTATTATGCCTCAGTTAATCAATATCTTAAAGGGATCCTAAGAATAACTATTGTAATGTATACTGCAAAGCTTATACTGCATTATCTGTCCTCATTGTTTAAGGGAGGAGTTATAGCTTGCTTATTATTATGAGCACTCTTTGCTAGTACAGAGCAAGTTATGGGACTCCTAATCAGGTGAATATATATTTGTGTTAAGTATGTTGTTTTGCTTTTGTTTTTGTTTGTGTGTTTCATTCCTCAAGCATTTTATTTTTTGTGTTCTGGTGCAATTGTTTACATTTTCACCAAAGATAATTTCTAGACTGCAATTCTACTGGAGCATATTCACCACTAAGCTATATTTAAAATAAATAAATAAATGTAACACAGTAACACGATCCTCAAAAGCCAGCCGAGGCGTCTGAAAAATGACTCTTTGTACGATCAGTCCAGAAAAAGTAGCCATTAAACTTTATTCTTCTGTACATTACAAAGCAATCCATAATCCTGACAAAATGTTATGGCATAATGAATTCATTTTTTTTTTGTTTTTTTACTTGTTGAATGGTAAATACTGTACATGTTTGCTATTTTTGTCCTAGTAGGTGCCTTCTCTCGCATACTTCTTCACACACGCCTGCCTTAGACAATGTACCTTTCAAAGCGTCTGGTTGTAATTTGTTTTTCACCATCAGGGCCTGGTGAAATCTTTAACTGTAATTTAACATTTGCATCCTTGCATGTAATGTTCCCATAGTCAGTCAATAACTAATGATGAGCTTTGTTTGATCAGCATGTGTAACGAAACCTGTCACAGAAAGAAATGTTCCCAGAAAATTCCTGATTTCCTAAACATCTGCTACACAGTTGCTTTTCAGAGGGAAATGTTGTATTGTTTGTATGTAACTGACATGTTCAAGTCCATCAACAGGAAGAAAGTGTATGTTCTCTGTTGTGACTGCTATATTCACACTTTAAAGACACTAAGGAGTGCCTAAGAGTTCTGTAAGTTTTTTTATAAGCTCCTGATTGCACTTTTCTAACACTGATTAAAACTCTCTGTGTAGTGAAGCAAATGCACGGGCTCTGTCTGTTCACTGATCATGATTTGATGAGAACTCAATTTGACTTCTGTACATCTCACCTCTCATCTCCTGATGGCTGATGCATCCAATCAGACACCTGTGCACTGTTTATACAGCAGAGCAGCAGTAGTGGTTGTAGCAAACCCCAGAAAGGGCCTCTCATGAAACAAGAAGTGGAAAAGAAGCTGTGTGGGTGAGTGTTTTGGAATTATTTCCTTCTGGTTGGATTTTGACAGAAACACAGGTGTGAACAGCTGCTAAATTCTTAATTATCTATTTATTTTTTTATGTTTGCTACTTCATAGTTTGCGTACAAGCTTATAATCCTCACTGAAAAACATATTTCTGCTTTCCCTTTCTGCCATTTCCAAACACACACGCATTAGTAATGAATGCAGACTGGCAACAATGCCAGTTGTGAACAAACCGCATAACAAAGGAGTGATAAAACCCAACATTACCTATTCAGGGTTAAATTGCATGTGACAGAAATCCACCACGCAGCTGCACACCACCTGAGTGGTTTAATTCCATTCTCTGTTCATGTGTGTCGGGATGTGCCGAAGCCGCCTCACCAGTCTGAAATGAGTGCATTTCCTCCACAAAACAAAAGAACCCGCACTCTGCATATGAATTATTATTATTTATATGTAAAGCATGCTGCCTGCCTCCACTAATTGCCTTTTATATGAGAGTGGGCACGACATGTATAGTTTATAGCCTCTACATCTCTACAAACAGGTTTAGCAGCTGTATCATTGCTGCTGCGTAAAAGTCTCTTCTGAAACGCAATAACAAAGTTGTGTATGTGCAATGTATAATGTCTTCACTGCACGTTTATGCAAACTTTAAGAACTTGAACACTAGATACTGATTATAGTAAATG